TTGTGGAAAGGGATCAACATTCTTGTGCACACGATTACTCTTACTGTGCAAAATTTTCTAATCAATCTACACTTAGCAATTTTTCAGACTCTCCTACTTGATTTTACGACAACCCCAAGGTTAGATAAGTCATCAATAAGAAACTTTGAAGTCGAGAACTAGAATTGTCTCTCGCACAATAGTGGATGACTAAAAATAGAAAAATTGAAAGTCGAATATCAAAAGTGTCACTGACACTATAGTCGGGGACCAAAAGTGGCACAAGCTCTCACATAGGGAGTAGTTCGTATGGTCAAAGCGGAAATGTGCAAATGTACCATGAAGTATATGTAGAGGCGCACATAATCCCTAAACTTCTAAAAAGTGCAAAAATATCTCTCACATTCCTTAAAAGAGCAAATTTACCCAGCCCCTATATCCTACATGTGGGTGTAGGTACATCCAGCCCAACTGACAAAGACAACCCATCTCTACAATCTTATAAGAGTGAATGAGAGTAAGGGTTGTTTGGGTATATGAAATGTGTTGGTGGTACAGTACAGCTAGATTCAATTCTACATTCATTTTAAAGCATTGTACCCTTTAAATTATATTCTAACTTTTCTAATTTTCTTCCGTTAGTCTTCACATCTTTAAACTTCCGTTAACTTTTTCATTTCTCCTTTGTTGCTAACAACTTCAATTGGGTTCTAACAGAGCTAATTTTACCCAATTGAATTGTTTGCTTTATTTTCTTATTATTACCCTTTTTCCTTTTTCTTGTTATTCACCCTTCCCCCAATCAGCCGATGGTTATAGATCCTCGGAATTATGGAATTTCGACCATCGGCGGAAATCAACTTATAATATGACCTGTCAGCTTGTAGAACAGAAGCCTTGACCTTCGATGTCCTTGGCTTGTTTATCCAGAGTATTTAACTGTATTTTTATCTACATTCATTTTATAAAATTCCACCAAGTTATATACTACATATGTCCCAAATTAATTTGCAAAATTGACTTTTTTTATCAAACAATTTCATTTCATTCACTTAACTTGGATGCTAATTTTTAATTATATTCCAATTTTGGAGTTAGCAACTTTGAAGATATTTTAATGTAGTTTCCGAATATGTAAATTTTAATTATTAAAAATTCAGTTAATTAGCAATAGAAAGGATTTAACTTTAACAGTGATTGACCAAAAGCTGTTGACTTTGCAAATGAATTTGGAACAGATGTTTACAACATTTCTCTTACAGTAAAAAATGTGAAACCAGACATGCTATTTGAAATAATGTAGGGATTCATACGTTTTGTATGTTTGTTAGTCAATTAGAATTATGTGGAGACAAACTTTTTCTCAGAGCCCAGTAAATAGTCTTATATGGTTACTGAACAAGTCCGTTAGAATGCAAGCTTAAAAATTTAGGATTTAATTAATAAAGAGGCAAAACTAAGGCATAGATAACTTTCCTCATTTTTGTTATCAATTCATTGCTAAAATTAACATTTAACTGCACCAATTTAACTACACCTACTAGAATAGTAATATCACTGATGGTACTAATAATAATATTACAAATAACAACAATAATAATTTTTTAAAATATTTGGTTTGATTTAAATGTTTTTGATCTAATCTCAATATTTTTACCACCTCCGTGTCACTAACACTGGGACATGATGATGCGGTACAGTTGTTAAGAAAATGAGTTTATGTGATTGATGTTGAATTAATAAAGTAAGAATAAATAATAATGATTTAGAATCACAAAATTTTACCAAATTTGATACGGAGTATGATACATTCTTAATAAAATGGATCGAAGAGGAAAGATGAGCCAATCACTAACATTTTTTCAGTAAATTTGAGTGGGCTCATAGCTGACTTAGGCCCTCATGCCTACGCCCCTGCTTCATGGATCTAACTCTAACCATGGACAACATCTGGACGTTTTAAACGGAAGTATGATTACAACTTTCTGAATTACTGGTGGATCAGTAGTTAGTGATGATTACCCACCCTCATGACCCATCATTTTGGAACCGGACTTGGGGTACACACTTGTGTACACAGTCTTACACACTCGTCTCTGTGTAGGCGTTTTTTGTGTGTCCCAGACACGAGTGTGTAAGAGTGTGTACACAAAGTGTGTACCTTTAGATTTTTTCATCATTTTGTACAAATCATGATTTAAATAATTTGTGTGCTTTCAATCATTTTCAAACATTATTTCTCATCATTTTGTGCTTTCAATCATGAACTGATTACATTGCAACCATCGTAATATATGCAATTCCTTTCATTAATTATTAGTGTTCAAGCGGCTAGCATTACTTCTTCTTTTTTTTTTGAAAATAGCTAGCATTACTTCTATGCACAAGTTTATAATTAAGACACAAATTCACATATTAGCATTATAGATAACAATGAAAAAATGTATACTTGATCAGTGTTTTCAAATTTATCTATATGTTTCTTTTATAACGTTGTTTAGAGATATTATTTTCGATGGCGTAGTGTCATCTGCCAAATTTATATTCACTGTCATCTTCGGTCGGGCGTTCATGTGTGCTAATAAGAGGTTTGCATTGATATCTTCATCAATCGAGAATTTGATTTTCATTTGCGATGATATTGTAACGAATCACCCTCTCCTCAACCACCGTTGTTCCAAGAAGTTGAGATCACATGAACTGGTTTCTTTCCGGTGGCTGGCAGAAGCGGAATAAATTTTACACTTGACTCCTTGCCGGTGGCTGGACAAATCGGGATGTTTAATACGAAGTAGTTTGTTTGAGAATTATATATTGTGATCGTAGCAGGAGCCGTCGACCTGAATGTAGAGTCTATTTCTTTACGAGATTAGCGATTCAGGTTTTTCAATTTGAATCGTGTGTTTATATGTCTCATCTCATTGTAGCTTTGAGTTATATGATTGTAGTTGTTATTGGGCATTTTCCTGATCGCGCAACGCGCGTCACGTAACTAGTTAACTAATACAAACCAATTTTTTACGGTGACATTTTTGTAATTTAAGTGAAAAATCACGACTTCCGCTAAAAGAACATTAGTGTACGTTTAGTGAGCATATAACATATTCTATTGAGTATTAGGAGGCTAACAATGAGCATCATGATCTCTGCTTCATATCTTCTAATTCGATTTTTTCCTTATTTTTTCTTTTATAAAAACTTATTAATTTATATCTATAATACACTCCTATGAATTTCAATATGTGAATTTAATGTAATATGATACTTTTGAAATATGCATTGATCTGACATTTTAAAATGAGTATAACATCAGTACCAAATGAACATACGTAAATTACAAAATGTTCATTGATATGAAAATCGTAAGCTTTTTTAGTTTAACAATACGATTTTCATTGAGAATCAACCCCCCTTCTATTGCGATGAAAATCACATTTTCTGTTAAATGAGCATTAATGAACTTCTAATGAACATCAGACCTATTCTGTTGAGTATTATTGAGCATCGTGAATTCTTCTTCATAAGTTCACTTTATTTTTCTTATTTTTTCTTTTATATAACTTTTTTTAATTATATCTATAATAGATTCCAATGCATTCCAAATTTCCAATATACAAATTTAATTTAATATCAAACTTTTGGAATATGCATTAAGACATTTTCATTGAACAACAAATATCCTCTATTGAACATTGAACTCTGCAATCAAACATAAACATTTCAAAATCTATCGAGCATCAAAACATCTTCATTAAATAGTCATCCGTAATAGTGCTTATCTTAAAACGGTATATCGATGTACATTCTGTGTAAATATTATACTCCCTCCGTCCCGGAATTATTTTCATTCTTTCCTTTTCGGTCCGTCCCAAATTTATCTCCTTTTTCTTTTTTTGGCAAAGAATTTGTGGTTCACAACCATTTTTACACATTTCTCTTTCCTCTGCACAATTATCCACCACACATTTCCCACTATCTTAAAACCCGTGCCCAGTCAAATAAGGAGATAATTCCGAGACGGAGGTAGTACTGATTTGGGTACAGCATAAAACCTATTTTTTGTACCAATTTTATAATGTTATACCAATACTCATTTCTTTGAAAGTTATGCTCATACATGTATAACATAAAAATCATTTCTATAACTCACACATGTATCATATTCATTACAAATAACTTAGGATAAATCTTTCTTAACAACAAACTCAACCTATTTTAACACAACACACATTGTAAAATTTGTGAATACTCATTTTAAATGTAATGATAGAAAATTATAACATTAATCGTTCAAAATATCACGTAAAAATCATTAATATAGTTGAATCCAATATATAAAAACCAAACATAAAATCTAATAGCAAATTGTTTAAAGATAAAACTTTGAAAATAACAAACAAAATCAAGAATTCCTTAATTCAAGTAGCATCAAAGCTATTTAAATCAATGCAAAAGAGAGCTATTATGCAAAATAATTATACATAGTCAATATCATATTTAACTACAAGTACAACAAAGTTTATTCAAAATTATCATATTTTACGAATAGTTGATGGGCATTACCATTTAGATGATAATTTCAGTGAAACTGTTAGATCATTACTAGTTAAATAAAGTGATGAAGATATTTCAATCAAATTATCTTTACGTACATTGTTTTCAGAATTGAGTCAATTCTGAAAAGAGATTTATAATTATTGAAATAAAGAATAAAAAACTAGAATAGAGAAGTCAAGCCAGGCCAAGTTCGCAGGGAGCTTCGATCGAGAGGAGAAAGGATGAATGCAGGAGTTCAAATTGGTGTATAATAATGAGGATGAAAGTTGCAAAGAATTACAAAAATACAAAGTATATTGTATATAAGTAAATCTGTACGTTATAATTTGCGAAAGAAAGAAATAATTTATTACCTTAAGTTATTTTAAATAAATAAATAAAGTTTTACACCAAGTTTTAAGATTGGTTATTTTTTTGTTATTTGTTTAAAGTTAAAAAAGGTAATTTAGGTAATTTTGCAACTGTGAAAATTGAAGGGAGGACAAAGAGTAGCAGCTAGGTATGCAAAAGATTTTCGCATGCTCTTCAACAGCAGTCATCAAAACCCTCGCTTGATGATTCTCTCTTCCTGATCGCGTACGATCTCCATCGATTCCTAAAACTCGTCAGTCTTCGTCTTCCGCTCTCTTGTAATGGAAGATGATGACGAGTTCGGAGATCTTTACACCGATGTCCTACGACCTCTCACGGCGGCATTCCAATCTCAACAGTCGCCACCTGCTGCGCAACACCTGGAAGAAGGGGGAGCTGTTGAAGCTGAAGGTTCCAAAGCTACTGAATCGCTCCAGGGCATCCAAACAGATCCGGAAGTCGTTAAAGAAGATAGAGGGATCAATTCTGGAGCTCAGAAATCCAATTATGACCCTAATATAAGCTCCGAATCTTCTCTTGTCGTTGAAGAAAGAACCAATGCCCCTCGAGAGGAAGAGAAACAGCACATTAAAAAAATCCTTGATTTTAATCTTAATTTGAATCAAGAAATTGAAAACCCAGAGGTTTCGGTTGGGACTGGGATTGATTTAAATAAATCAGATTTGGGTGAAAGGGTTTTTGAGAAGAGTGACGCAGAATCACGAGATTTGACTTTTGGAGACTCCAATTCCAAGGAGGAAGCTAAAATTGATGTTGTAGTGGAAGAGATGGATGATAAAGAAGATGGCTTGCTGGATAAAGATGAAAACATTGTTGATAGGTTGATCACTAGGGGTGGTGAAGCTGGGAGCTTTGTGATGGAAACGGGAGACTCAAAGCCCCTTATTCCAGGGGTGTCAATTCCCGGAGTTTCAGGAGCTGCAGCAACAGGTAGAGATGGGGCTTTGGTGACTGAATGGGAAAGTGACAGTGATGATGACGATTTGCACATAGTGTTGAATGAACACAATCATGGACCCATGGGAATGGACATAATGGGTGGAATGGGAGCTGATGGTGATGACGATGATGATGGGGAACCTTTGGTCATTGTTGCTAACACTGATGATCCAAATCATCCACCAATGGTTGAAGAGCAAGAATGGGGTGAAGAGCTGGTTTCTTCTGCTGAAGGGGAGAAGAAGGAAGATGCAACAAAAGTCATCGTAGGAACAGGGTTTGCGCCAAAGGTTGGGTACAGCAATCATGGGTACCACCATCCGTTTCATTCGCAGTTTAAGGTCAGTCATGATGTTGGCACCTGGGATTTGTGCTTCCTCAACTTGTTTCACCAGACTATGAAATGTAAACTGACTTATGGATGTTATGTGATATGGAATTACCAAATTAGTGATTATAAAGTAGTCAGAATTGTTAATTGTGTGGTAAGAAAAGATAGTTGTACTAATTTCATAGTTTATATTAGTGGATGTTTTTTTCTTCTTCTCAACTTTTGGAATGATAGTTCTTTTTTCATTTGCATAGTGATCACGTGTGAAGGTTACATGAAAAAGTTGTAGATTCCTGGCACATTTTCTAGCAAATGATCTATACAAATAAAAAAGGAAAATAGCTTTAAATGATACCTGCAATCACCTATTAACTAATAATAATATAATATTAATAATAATAGAACTATGTCATATCCCAACATATTTTAGTATGTGCTGAAAATGATAAGCCACTTTCCAACAATAAATCTGATCATTCAATCCTTCAAAACTAGTACAAAACAATCTATTAATTTCAGACCATTTCATATCCCAACTTTATTTTATGGTCTGATACCAGTTTTATGGGTTTAAGTTATCCGATTTATATAGTTAGGAAGTAGCTCCCTATCAGTTTTGTTATAAATTAAAAGTTAAATAATTGGGATATGAAATAGTTATATTTATATAAGATGCACTATTATTGGTCAATGTATCAATGTATGGTAGCTGATATTATTTAGAGTTCATTTCACATACAAAAATTTCTATGGATTCTTGGAAATTAACCCGTTTCACTACATTCACATATGAAGCAATTTTTTAAAATTCATTAAATCAAGTAATCTTTTAATAATGGTAAAGACAGTATTCTGATAGCAAGTGATGTGTAAAATTATGCTGTAATAGGTTCAGTATCTCTATTAGCCATTTATCCAATCACTTCTTGCTTGGTTCCATTCCACCAATAAAATGGCTGCTCTAAATGCAAAATATCTGTCAATGAAGCTCCACTAACTCATTAAAGTTCACGTGACATAACTTGTAATATGGAGAAGTAAGAGATAAAATTCCTAATTTTTATGCAATGAGTGTCACCATTCACCAAATTACTAAGGTTCTATTTGACAAGTACATTTGGACTTAAATGATATTGAATAGCCCGTCAAGATAGTATCTTACTGGCTATATCACTAGTCTGGTAATACCAAATCGTACCAACATAGAAGTTTGGTTATCCTATATGTATCCAACAAGTTTATTATGAGAATTTGCATGTTCATATGAACTAGTTGTGAAAGAAGTACTTCAGACAGATCATTCATTTCTGCCACCCATATATAATGGTTATATAGGGAGAAGTGATGATGTATCTGAATATGATTGATCATATATTATAATCAGGAGAGTATGTCTTTACATGTAGTGGCATTCTTTTTTCCCTGATAAGAATTGACTGATGTATTGGATCCCATGATCCCTGCTGACATAGAGTTATTGTAAAAAGACTTGGTGACCAAGTTTTGTCTTGGAAACTTTTGGATAATGGCCTTTGAGAGCGCTGTGGTTCCTTTGTTTTATAATTTTTGAAGTAAATTTCAATTATTAGTTTTGCTACATACCTTAATGGAAGCTTCTAACATCTTTTCCCTTCCTCTCGACACTTTCGTTAGTATGTGAGACCTGGTGCAACACCAATCCCTGGAGCTCCTACGGCTGGCCCTGGAGCAACACCAGGTCAAGTTCTCCCACCCCCACTCAGTACAAGCCTTGTTGCTGGACGAGGAAGAGGAGATTGGCGACCAATGGGGATTAAAGGTCCGTTAACAATGCAAAAAGGTTTTCCAGGGTATGGTATGCCTGCTTGGGGAAGCAATTCAGCCGGACGTGGAATCGGGTTGGACTTCACTCTCCCTTCACACAAGTAAGCTTCTTAGTTTTTTAATGGTTGCCTTTTTACGAAGTCTTCAATTATTTTTCTTTAGTATGTGCTAGTTTTCAAACCCTTGTGACACACAGATGGTAGGTAATGTGCAAGAGTAAAAAATAAATATCTCAAGTGTTGTGTATACTATACATATAATGGAATATGCTAAATAACCTAATTAACTAAAACTCCATTAACATTATACAGGCTACAGAACTAATTAACCAAACATTAACCAAACATACTAAACTTTATTTAGTCAAACATTAATTAAATTCACAATCTTATTCTAATTAAATAAAACTATATTTTCTTAAAGTTATACTACGTGTGTGTATAGATATCAAATAGCACTCTAATTAAGATATGTTTAAATAGTGACATGTCATGCATGTTCAGGTGGTCCATTCCATGCTCTAAAAAGATTCTGCATCTTTATATTGATGTCGATTTACTTTCTTTCCCATTCTTTTTTATCAGGACTATATTTGAGGTTGATATTGATGGTTTCGATGAAAAACCTTGGAGACTTCCAGGCATTGATGTGTCTGATTTTTTCAACTTTGGCTTAAATGAAGAAAGCTGGAAAGATTATTGCAAACAGCTGGTATAGTTTTATAACAATTTACTATGCAATTTCACTTCTCCAAGGATCTAAAGGAAATGTATTTTTATTTACTTGAATTGAAATGAACTCGACAAAAGCATTTCATCTTTGAAATTAGGTCATCATTTCTTCATTGAACTTGAATTGGGAAACATGCAGCGGTTTGATGGTTTTCCCCTCATAAGCTATAAATAATGCAATGTTGGAAACAAACATAATACTTTCAGGAACAGTTTCGGCTTGAGTCGACTATGCAAGGAAAAATACGAGTGTATGAAAGTGGGAGGACAGAACAGGTGATACTTTTCTTACCAATATGTGTCTATGACTGAAAAGACTAAGCCCCAATGTATGTAGGATGTAGATGAGTTCTTTTTCCCTTCAATCTTGTATTGTGAGTCTTCTATCTTCTGAAATTGGTAGGAGTATGATCCAGAACTTCCTCCGGAGCTTGCAGCAGCTTCTGTCATTCAAGATATTTCAACTGAAAATGCGAATCTAGGGAAAACTGAACTTGCTCAAAATGACTTGGCAAAAGGATCTATACGTAGCAGGCCACCACTGGTAAGTTAATTAATAATTCCATTAAATGATGTTTTTCTTGGAACCATATCTTATATCTGATATATTGACCACTTGCATTAATTTAGAAATCTGACATGTTATCCCTTTTAGTTTCCTTCTGGATGATCTAGTTTAATTTACTGCAGCCTACTGGAAGACCAATACAAGTGGAAAATGGCTCTGGTGAGCGCCTCCCATCCATCGATACAAGGCCGCCACGACTCCGTGATTCTGATGCTATTATAGAGGTGGTTTTGTAGTTCACTTTATTCTTGTTTGCTGCTTCCTAACACACACCATTATAAATCATTAATTTAACCTTGACTCTCTTTTGGACTATTGACTCATTTGAGTTTGAGCAGCCTGTTTCCGTAATGTTTATTTCGTAGGTCTCATGCGACATTTATTTTTTGCTAACAGATAGTCTGTCAAGACAGTGGCGATGAAGAAAACAATTCGGAACAACCCAGAAATCTACCATTGAGAGGGGATACAAGAGGCGTTGATGAAATCAGAGATCTCCAGCACGAAGAAAATCGTAATGCAGATGGTTTTCAGCATGCTTATAATGGTTGGAAGAGAGATTTTCCCGGTAGAAGAGCAGAATTTAATCCTGGGCCTGACATGAGTCAAGGCGATCAAATTACAATTCTTCCTTCAGAAGAACCGGATTTTGAGGGGAAAGCTTCTGTTGCACATGACATGAAGTATGGAGTAATTTTGAACAAAGTTATATGTGTATTTCTAACAAATTATATATATTGATCCATTTGAACTCTTTCGTTTTCTTAATTTTCTAATGCCTTCCTTCTTTTAAGAAGATATACATTATGGTAATTTGTCGTCAGATGCATTCCTCTTCCAGCATGTAAATATGTGATAAAACTATAGGTAGTCGAATTAAAATTAAGTCCTTGATGGTGATTCTGCTTCAAGAAGGCTGAAACAGTGTTTGATTATTTGATATTCCAATCATTTGTCTTCATTATTATAAATCGTTATTATAAATCAACATCGCTGGTTCTTGAATTATTTCTTGTTTTTGAAGTTCCTATTGCTTTAAAAAGTGCATAAATTTGCATACTGGATTGACAAATGTTTACTTTTGTTTTTATTTTTCGTTTATAATTTCTTATAAATACCAGTTGGGAAAAGGGCAGAGCACACCGCAGATCATCTGATATGGGGGCCAGTGGAAGTCCAAAGGATAAACAGTCAGCTCTTGATAATCAGAGGGATGAATCAGTGAGTGTCGATGATGGAAGAACTCCCCTTTCATCATCTCCAATGTCTAATAGATCTCTGCATGATGAGGCTCTTGAAAATAACAATAATCTGCACGAGGAGTTAGCTCCAGCACAGAGAAATTCTGGAGTGAAGAAGGAAGAAAGGGTTTTGGATGAAAGAACTATTAGTGGTAAAATGAAGGATGTCAGTCTAATGAGTTCTGCTAAAAACCTTAAGCTCAGGTCACGCCTTGAGGATCCATCTCCTCAAGACACCGAAGGTGGAGAAGATTCAAAGGCAAGTGGAAACAGCAAAACAAGGTCCGAAAGCAGCAAAGAGTATCATAAATTACACGATGGTCTTGAGGAAGAAGTTCAAGGTGATCGCTTTGCACATGTGGATAATACGAGGAAAACTAGTGGAGAAGAGGATAGATTACGACGAAAAGGTCGTGATGAGAAAGAATTAGAGAAACACCGAGTGGTAGGAAAAGGGAGGGAAGATTCTTACATGCGCAAAGGATATGATTCTAGCTCAGCCCATCATTTACACAATAAAACCTCCACTGTAGACTGGCGTAAAGAGCGTGATCATTCTGATGTGTCCTGGCAACATCATAGGGATGACGATATGCATGGGAGAAGGTCTAAAGTGGATGACTCCCGAAAGCGAGAACATGTTGATGAAATTGAATCCAAACACAGGAACAGGAGTCGTGATATTGATAGGATTGAGAGAGAAGGACGCCATTCATTGAGGAAGCAACTAGACAACAATGGCGGTTTGAGGCCAGATCATGAAAAAGATGCAGTAGTCTGGCACAGAGAAAGGGATGACTTGAAGTACCGATATGATACTATAGATGACCGTCACAGCAAAAGAAGGAAGGAGGATCCAAAATCCAGCAGGGAGCGTGTGGAGAGGGAAGAATCCTCGCATGCGCGGGGAGACGGAACTCTTCTTCGCCGTAAGAGGGAGAGAGATGACCTTTCAGATCAAAGGAAGCGAGATGAGCAAAGATTAAGAGATGATACCAGGTACAAAGAAGAGGTACTGTTTCAGAGTGAGCGAGGTGAGAGACATAGGGATCGTGGTGATTGGTATAAGCATAAACAATCCCAGGATGAAGCTCTGTCATCAAAGAGAGAAAGGGATGAACTGCGTGGTGGCTTGCGGGCGGGTCGAGCTGCCGAAGAGAAACCGTGGGTTGGCCCACATGGGAAAGATGAGTACAAAGGTTCTGACAGAGAATATCATTCGAAGGATCCAGGGAGGCATGTTGAGCATCTCAAACGAAGGGAACATGATGAAAATGCAAGTCCTTCACGACATAGAAGCCGTGAAGATGTATATGGACGGGGGCACCAGCCTAGTAATGATGATAGGAGAGCAAGGAGTGAAAGGGTGAGCACTCGTCAAGATCACTCTGCTCATGAATCTGATGGTTTGAAGGTTCATGAAAAGAAACGTAGAGAGAATTCCGCAAAGGATAGAGCATCTGAAGCTGGGGATCATAATTCTATGCTTCCTTCAAGGCTGAATGAAGATGAGCGCAGTGGACATGCAAGTGAGACGGTATGTTAAGTTTTGCATGCAGTAGCATAATATTAAATAAAAGGTTGTAATAGTTATGTATACAACTCCCAAAATAGTTAACTGATGTAGGACAGAACTATAATAAGACAATTAGTTTATGAAAATCTGATGGTTGTACTTTTATATAGAGCTTATTTATTTAGATGAAACAAGTCAGAGAGTAAAATAATATTAGGTGCAAATGATGTCCTTCAGTCCTTGATGTATTGATTTTGTAGTTTTGCATGCATACTTGCATTTGTTTCAAAGAAAAAACAACTTTACTTGTTCCCTGTGCTGTAATCAAAAAGTAATTGTGCCTGATGAATTTTTTGTGTGAGGAGGGGGGGAGGGGTCTAAGTTCTGATTTGTAACAGTTGTGCGTGTCTGAAGAATGAAGATGATCTGATACACAAGGCTAGATTGTTATTAGGTGGAATTTGTGGCTTTGTGTGCCATATTTTTTTTATGCTGCACCATTTTTGTGTTGTCTCTTTTCATTGATACTTCACGAACTAGTAATATCAACTCATATCCATTTAACTCTCAGAAGTAGATGAGACTGTGCCCGATCTGCTTTTAAAATACACCATCACGCTCTGTATACACAAAAGTCTTTATGTTTATTGAAGGATGTGCATATTTTAAGAGAATCTGGCAAGTTCTTCTTTAAGCTTCTCATATTTGGATGGTGTTTTGAGATGCCCTTGTTGCTCGGCTTTTGTTATAATCATCCAAGGAGATAACATTTAGAGTTCTCTTGTGTTTTTTATCTATGTGGTTGTTTTTGTTAGTCTCAAAATGGTTGTAAACTTGTAGTCAGATTTTGTGGTCAATATGCACTGAGTGCTTGCATAATCATCAATAGGTATTATCTTTTCATATTTTCACTTTGTCGGGCTCATATACAAAGTACACATTTGCAGTATATTATTATGGTGTCCCTACTCCCTACAGCTGTATGGATCCCGGAAAATGCTATGAAAATGAAACAACACTAAGCAAAGTTAATTTTTTATGTTCGGCGGAAAATGTGAAGGAAAATGATATATGATTAGTTTTTCTAATTTTGTACACATGTTTAATTTTTGTATTATATTAATATTAATAGAAGTACATAAAAATCAAATTAATAAACACTTTCAGTCTAAACTAATGTTTCATTCACATCAACATTTTCTTTCACTCCATAGATCTTCTATAATTTCTTCCCTATTTACTCTCCCTGGCATTTTCTAAGTTCCAAACGTGTTTCTAAATTCATGGTGTTTATCACTGTTACGTGCCTTGGGTATACTCCATCGATTTTGTCAATAGCTCTTATTTTATATCTATGCATCATGCATGTTTTGATATCCTCTCATTCTTGTTAATATCTTTACGTGTACCAGTTGCCAGCTTTTTCTTGAATCTATAACATGTTGTTTGTTTGCTACGATATGTTGTTGCTAATGACTTCTATTCTGTGATTCTTGTGTGCAATATTCTACTTCACATTTATGTTTCTTTGTCTAGGATGATATACTCTGCCTCGAATTCCTTTCAATGAAAAAGTTTGCCAATTCTTTTATTTGCACACCTTGTTTCAGTTAATGCACTGTGTACCCCTATTTGCTATACCAACTTTTGGCCTTGGCTTTCATTTGAAATAGAATGAATATAGTTCTGAAGTATGGAGCTTTTCATTTTGTTGTAGCAATAAAAAATGAACATGACTGGCTTGCTGGTGTTAATGTACTATTTTGAGTTCTTGATGAAATAATCAACAACGAAATATTCTCTTTCCTTGTCACCTCCTTGTCAATGAAATGTAGGCAGCCCTAGGTTATTGGATTACCTCCCGAAAATGATTAAGATATTGTGAGAATGTAAGGCTATGATGCATGCAAACTCTCGAGCAGGAGTGTTCATGGGTTTCTTGAATCTTTGAAAACCAATTAAACACGTTCTTATTTAAAGACTGACGTCTATCATTCCCCTGCTTTTATCACGTTTTCATGCTACCCAGCCTTAATCTGTTTGATTCATGGAATGTGATATTGTTTATGTCATATAAATCTAATATTTTACCAAGGTTATCAGATTAATTCCAATGCATATAAATCCAAGGTGATCTGTTTAATATTACGATTTCTATAAAACCCAAGGTTATCAGATTAATTCCAATGTTAGCCCACCCCAAACTCTTTTGGGATTAAGGCTTTGTTGTTGCTGTTGTATTGCCTCCTTTTCTTACATGGAGGTATTGCCCCTGGTAATCTGAAAACCTAAATCAAATAAGTAAATGCATATTACCTTTCTCACCTAACCAAGGCAATCTTTCATTCTTAAATCAAGTGCCCCTATCAGTAACTACCTCTAATCATGTGGGTAGTAATGTATGCTAGGTGTGACATTTTCTTAGTAAAAGGTTTATCTGATCTCCTAAAACAAACTGATAATTTTGTTTTATTCCAGGTGAGCTTGAAACGGAAAACCGAGAAGGGAAGTGATGACAATGAGATTCAAGTAAATCATCAAACTTCCAAGAAAGACAGAGAAGATGCTTCGTCTGACGATGAACGACCGGACTCAAAAAGAGGACGTTCCAAATTGGAGAGATGGACAAGCCACAAGGAAAGAGACTTCAGTAGTGTCAACACTACCAAGTCATCATCTTCTTCCTTACCAATCAAAGAAAATGATGTCATGACCGGACTCCACGAGACTTCAAAGAAAGCAGATGACAATGAACAACTGCCACAACAGAATGAAAGCAATAGTAATGCTCTTGCTGAGATTAGTATTGGTAGTGCTGATGTGAAAAGAGTGGAGGATAAACACTTGGAAACTGTTGAGAAGCTGAAAAAGCGAAGTGAGCGTTTCAAGCTTCCCATGCCTGGAGGAGATAAAGAAGTAACCACGGTCAAGAAGACTGATAATGAAAGTCTTGCTTCCGCAGGGCAAATGGAGTCCCGCCCAGATTCAGAGGTCAAGCCTGAGCGCCCCCCAAGGAAGAGGAGGTGGACTAGTAGCTAAAAAGCCTCAGACAAAATTGCTGGTTTTATCAGGATGCTCCCATCATTCCTTTTTCATGCCATTTATATATCCCTTGTTACTGAGGAGCCTTTCCCAGCTGCTGTTTTAAGAGCTTTCCTGTTTTATAGCGACCCATGTATTTTTTTTTATTTTATTTCACTTTTGTTTTAAAAAGTGTTCCCATATATATATAACATAAAGATGTATCATTGTAACTGCCTGCTTACAAGGCTCACAGAATTTGAACTCCATTTGGGTTGTTAGACATTAATAGTGTAACACAAGCAAATATTTTGCTTCAATTGACATGTGGCTAAAGGGGCCATTTTACTTCAGGCTTCTTGATTTTGCTTCAGGAAAGATGGCAGAAAAAATTGTAGAGGTTTCATGAAGGTGACAATTCTTGCAAGGGAGGTGAAATACGTACTGTCATTGGTTGCCCAGTTGGCCAGTAGAGACTAGAGAGACTGTAATCAAGGCTAGATTAGTAGTGTGCCATTACCAATTTAGCCATTACTGCAGCTCCAGTTGAGAAATTAGGCAGTGTATGATCTTTTAAGGCCTTAAAGGTAATCTGAGTATATGTGTGGTTTACTTTTTACAGAGCTTGTTGTTGATGCTGTTATTATATACTCCCTCTGTCTAGGATGGACCCTGTCAGCAGTCCCAGATAGGACCGGAACCAGGACGGAACTGGGCCCACCACTGTGGGACCAAACCAGGTCTGGTTTTGGGCCCGAGCCGGGTACCTGACTGGGTGGGGGGAGGTCTCGGTCTTGGGTACGGGTTTTGGGGACTAGGCCGGGCGGTCCGGTTCTGGTCGCAAACTCGCAATGGTCAAAAACTAAAAAAAAAAACATTTGTAGGTTGTTTTGGGGCTGGGTGGGGAACTTGCCGTTCCAAACGGCAGTAACGGCTATATAGTCGTTGGGGGGGTGGGGGGCTAAATATTTTTGTATAAATACTTGATCATTTTATTCATTTTTCCCTATAATTCTATGTCTGCTCAATCTCTCTACTCTCGGATTCTCAATCTTTTATAATACATTTTTTCCCACATGCACTCCTGCACTTTCTGTATATTGGATCTTTCCTATATTAGTTTCCATACAGGAATGATCTAGAAGTGCCTAGGGTAGTTTGCCGGACAGAGTCTGAATTTTCTCTTGGGAGAAGGAGACCGACAGTAAACCTTTGTAGGACGTGGGCTCTTTGAGAGGTAGGTTGTTAATCGAGGGCTGGGATAAAATTCATGCAAACGTGCATGTGGGAGGAATGTTGGGACTGTCGGAGATGGAGATGACTGGTTTTTCCGACGAAACGAGTTTGGAGCTTTTTAGTTGTGTTAGGGCTGCTCCGTATGTGATGGTTGCCTAAGGTTTGAGGTGAGGGATGGGTAATTTGGTCGCTGTTGCGGTTCCCATGGCTTTGCCGCCGGTTGGCGGTGTGGTTTCTAGTGAGAAATGGGAGCTTCTCTCTCTAGGATGTGGTTCCCATGTTTTTGCGACACTCATATCTTAAGTCTCCATGGTGTCTATTTGTACATAAATGTCATTGGGAATAGCTTGGACCAGATTAGTCTTTGCCTGAGATCATCTTTAACTCTTCGTTTGTCAGCCTCATCATACTCTTCAGGGGGTTTCAGGCTTTCAGCTTCATTGTGGGTCGTACAAGAGGGTTGTTCTCATTGTCTCCGTCAACAGCTATCCATAATTCTACAGGTCCTTCTTTGATAGATTGAAGTATTGCAGATGATTGGTCTATGCTCTCAAAAAGTTAAGGAACCTGTTATGCCACATCTGGGTCTCACCCCTTCTGAGAATGGATGGCCTGCTCTCATTTTTGAGAATTTGATCGGTCCGTGCGGTTGATCAACTCACATTAGAGTTCAGAACTGGAATTAGTAGTTGACAACAGCAGATGGTTCACAACTCAAAATGACGGTACTTATCAAAAGTTCAGAAGTACAACAACGTAGGAATTGCGCCTGTTTTAATTATACGCCCTACACCGAATCCACGTGAGGGTTTTTTGGGCATTGCAACTTTGTCTAAACATGGAAATAGAATCATGTTCCAGCTCTCTTCCCTTGATACTATGTTTCCATAATTGCGATCAACACCACGTAGTCCTACTCGACTCACCCATGCGCTTCATCTGCTTCTCTCCATTCTTGTGTCGTTGAAAGGCTAGGTTAATTAGGATGTCTTCAAATGCCGTGGAATTTGAATCAGGTGCGGTTCTATGACCTTTGTTTGAATATAAAAAATCTTCTATGAGAATGACGTAGGAATTGTGTTTTACTCCAAAAAATCTCAACTCACATTTAACGCCTAAGAGTTGCAGTTTATGGTATTTTTTTCATTTAAAATCAAAATTGATAAAATAATTAACAATGCTACTGTCACATTAAACTTCTGTGAAATTCATGGTTGTTGTTTATGGTCTTTGGTTTGCATGCACAAGGATTCTCTGTAGTACGTTTACATCCCTCCCTGTCAAACATAGCTTGATTGATTTTTTTTTTCAATTTTTCCTCCTAGTCAAAGTTCGTAGGTAACATGCAGAAATATTTTATTCATGGTGCACTTCGAATTCAAAGATGTTTATTGTTATCCATTTTTTCTTATAGAAGATTTTATAATTTTTTTTGGGTGTTATTTCTTTTATATAGGTGTGAAATGTAATTTAGAAATTTCTCCAGGTTCTACAAAGTATTGGACTCCTGAATGTCAACCTGATAAGAAACCATTCGTTGGCATGCTCTTTCATGATCTAGAAGCTGGCATTGAATTTTTCAAAGTGTATGCAGCTGAAGTGGGTTTCACGGTTCGTAAGCATACATTAACGAAGGCCAAGGATGGTCATCCTAAGTTGAATTATTTGTTATGTAGTAGAGCAGGGTATAAGAATAATGGCCGTACTACTGTAGTTAATATCGATGTCCCCGCTGTCCCCGCTGTCCCCGTTGTCGTTGATAGTGTTGTCGTTGATAATGGTGTTTCTACATCAAAAGGTAGTAAGCAAAATAGAAAACGGGTGTCAAATAGGATTGGATGCAAAGCACTTTTAACTCTAAAATTTGCTGGTAATGATGGTTTCTCTGTCTTTGCGTTTGAGGAGCGTTACAATCATTCCATGTGTTCTGAACAGTAAAAAAAATCCTAAAAGTTAATAGGAATTTAGAACTCGGTCATCAAAAGTTTGTTCTAAATTGTTTTAGAGCAAATATTGGTACAAAGAAATCATATAGGTTGTATAAGGAGTCTGTAGGGGGTTGGTTATTCTAACATTGGCGCGACTGTTGTGGATTTTAAGAACTTTAAGCGCGACCTTATGGCCTACATATCTGGAGTCGATGCCCAAATGGTCATCGATAAGTTATTCAGAAAACAAGAGGTGTGCTCCGCTTTTTTCTTTGATTATGATGTTGATGATAGTGACCAGCTCACAAGATTGTTTTGGGCGGATCCCATTTGCCGCAAGAACTATGCACTCTTGTTGTTTCATTTGAAACAAATAGGTTTGAATTTGAATGATAGGTTTGTTTTTTTTCTTTGATTATGATGTTGATGATAGCTACCTATGGAACAAATAGGTTTTTTTCTATTCCAGACTAATTATTTGAATTTTATTTAAATATTTGAATTATGTGCACCTTGACCATATGTGGTTTGCATCTCTCATAACTGAATTATGCACCTACCATTTGGATGCTGATTCGTACATTCTATTTATTATATTGGCAGGTACAATATGGTCTTCGGTCCTTTCACAGGCGTTGATAATCACTGAAAGTGCATTACGTTTGGCGCCGGTTTGTTACTTAAGGAGGATGTGGATTCCTACACTTGGATTTTCACACGTTTCATGCATGCAATGGGACGTGAATCGACCTGCATTATTACAGACCAAAATCCAGCTATGCGCATTGCAATTGAGAAGGTATTTTCAACTTCCAAACATCGGTACTGTATGTGGCATATTATGTCAAAAGTGACACAGAAGGTAGGTCCGGTCTTAAGTAATAATCAAGCTTTTATGTCGTCATTGAATTCAATTGTGCGGAGTCATTATCTTGACACAACCCAGTTTGAAGATAAGTGGACATATCTAATGAAAGAATATGACTTGACATCACATGATTGGTTTTGTCACATGTTGAGTTGCGCAGATGGTGGATTCCTTCTTATATTAGAGATACTTTTATGGTTGGTTTGCTTCGTACCACGTCACGCTCTGAGAGTGACAATTCCTTCTTTCGGGAATTTACTAACCCACACTTTAGCTTAGTTGAATTTTTAATGCAGTTTGAGAGTGCAATGGATGCACAGAGACATAATCATGACAAATTGAACTCTGATTCGGAGTCTTACATTCCAGTTCTCAAGACGCCTTTAACAATGGAAAAGGCGGCCGCTGATGTTTTCACGCTCTCTATTTTTTATGACTTGCAAACGGAAATATGTTCAACTTGTTTTGCATGTCGTTTGTTACATCTTGATGGCCGTGATGGTGTTTTTGACTATGACATTTGTGACGATCGGAATTTGATGTTTAAAGTTCATTTTGAAATGTCAGATATGAAGGCGGAGTGTAGTTGTAAATTCTTCCAGCGGATTGGTTTGGTTTGTCGTCACATCTTTCTTGTCTTAAAAGATTTGAAAGTTGAAGAGATTACAGAACATTTTGTTAATACCCATTGGTGTAAGAAGGGTTTAATCAAACCGTTGTCCGAAATATCTGATTCTGTATTTCAGCAAAGTGTCACGTTAGAGGAGAATAAGATGTGTGTGAACTCTCTATGGTCTGATATATATATATATATATATATATATATATATATATATATATATATATATATATATATATATATATATATATATATATATATATATACATACACATATATATGCATGCATGACTCTTGTTGAAAATAACCCAAGTTACTTGCAACAGTTTTAAGGCATTATTAAAGATCAGAAAGAAATTCTTCTTTCCCTTCAGAGCGGGGTTGCACTGTCATCAACGAAGCAGTCACTATTTGAGTCCTTTTATGGTTCCGCTGCCCCTTCTGTCGTCATGGTTCATCCTCCACAACAGGCTATGAATAAAGGTTCAGGACGTAGGATCAAGTCTTCCAAAGAGGTTTCTATCCAAGAATCTAAACGTCCCAAGAGACTTTGTCGTTCGTGCAATGAGATGAGCCATCATGATAGCCAGAATTGTTCGTTCAATAAATAGCTACTGGATTATCTTTGTTTTTTACCCCGTTGGATTTACACTTTTGACAAATTATGTTTGCGAATATTGTTTTTTGTTTTATAAAGTATGCATCTCGTTCATATATTTACTGCTTATATACATCATTTGTATGCATATTCGAATACACTTAAGTGCACCCTGTTTTTCTACACTAGCCAAGACTACTCATATACGTTCAATTTGTTTCCCTATACTTCGGTGCTTTTTCTTTATTTTTTGATCAGTAAATACACGACCAGAATGTAATTGACTATGTAATTACAACTTTATTGACAAAGGCACTTTTTCCTAAGTGCACCATATATCCACAAATGTAATTATAACTTAAGTTGCACTCCAAATTATTTTTAAGTGCAACATACATTTACACATGTAATTATAATAATTTGCACAGGAACATATTGTGAAATGCACACTTCATTCACAAATGTTGCATTAGCCACCTAATTTGCACAACAAAATTTTTTCAAGTGCACCCTGGATTTGCACACACTGCATTATTAATTAGTTTGAATTCTATAAATGCACAATCGATTATCCCATTCAAAATTATTTATTATTTCAAAATATTGGATGTTATGCAATTTAATTAAATTAACTACATGCATAAATCAAATTAAAATAAACTCATGCAAATCTCGAACATATATTAAAAAGTAATTGTATTCAACGTCTTGTTTCACACACAAACATTAACCATAAACCTTTTTTTAATTTAAAAATGCAAATACATCATTGTAAACTGTAATGTCAAACTGATGTCAACTTCAAATTTGACTAAATTCATTCATTTGCCGCTGCTCCCTTCTTTCGGTCTGCCACCATTTGTTTCTCTTCTTTAGCTTTCTTTGCAAAATTCCTTGCCTTCACTAAGTTTGACTGCATGTACTCATTATTTTCATTCAGGAGAAATGCAGAAATGTACTTCACACGTAACATTCCTACCAGTTTTGTGTCTGTTTCCTTCAACCCAATATTCCGTCCTTGTAAGCCTTGACCTTGATATGTTTCCATATGCCGCATTGTGAAAATGCCGTAGTCGTACAAGTTCTTCGTCTGCCTCTGCCTCCACTCCATTCCTAGCCTCTTCGGTGTTGCCTTCCTGACTTTCTCAGATTTGGTCATCGTATTTCTTGAATCCATGTACTTCACTAACATATTTATCTGCACAAAGTTTTGGTTAACATCTTAAATTTCATCTAACACATACAAAAATAATTACGACAATGCACATTACCATAAGTAATAGTTACATAATATTATTGCGTACCACTATTTGAGGCATTTCCCCGTATTTATCAATATTGCGTGCTCTATCCGATGAGCTATCAATGATATCCACACGCTTCAGCTTAGTATTCAGACAAAGTACATAGCAGTGATGCACTTGCATGATCGGGAAGAAAAACTGCACCAAAATAACCATTTTTTACAATTTGGAAATTAATATCAATGCATTATAATTCAATAAAACATGCATACCAAATCAACTTTTGAAAGTGCAGTTTGGACTTTTATTGCTTCCAACCCAAACTCAATGGCTTCCACAAATAGGGGGTAAGCACTGTCAGCACTCAATCCCAGGTCGGTCTGTGTCTCAAGCTACAACACAATTCCAAAGTAGTTAAACTCAGCTGTAATATTCATACATTGTGTACAAAATACAATTTAAAATATATAAACAAAACAATTAGTTTTTTTGAATGTGTACTTACACAGGGCAAGACTTTAGCAAATACTCTACTGGTAGACTCACTGCTTCGGTCTTTCTCTTTACAATTTAGTGTGAATGCCCAAGCATTGATTACACTTTCCTCGATGTGACAACCATCCTTGATGCTCATCAGTTGTCCGCGGGTAAGCTTCAATTGGTTAAGGCCTTTGAAAATAACCTCATTCCTGTAGAGTTTGCATTCAATTAGTAATGTGCATGCACTTATATTTTCCCACATGTTTAAAGTAAAAATAAAATTTGCATTTCACAGTGCACTTACGCATCTCCATCAACGTCAAGAAGTATCCAACCGCCCATTGCGCGTTCAACTACGGTTAATGCATCACTTGGATCAATAACTCTTCTTAAGTAGGGTGATTTCATTGTTGCTCCAGCTGTTTGTTTTCTTTTTAGCTGCCCCAATTCTTCCGTCCCTACAATCTCCTGTTGACATTAATGTAAACAAATATTAACAGAAATAGTACTATTCACTTTTGAAGGAAACAAAATCTGCATACACTTCCCATTTCATCTGCACTCAATCAAAAATCACTCATTTTTTAAGTTTTTTTATTATTACCTTTCTTATTTCCGGTACAGGATTCACATGTGAACTTGTGTTGGTCCCGGTTATACTGGATACAGTCTAGAGGGGGGGGGTGAATAGACTGTATTGGTTTTTAGCTTTTTAGACTAAGTACCAGATTTTACAGAATAGCCTGTTCTGTTGACAGAACAGACTGGCAGCGGATGGGGTTCTGGTAGGGAGTTCTGTTGATTTAGCCTCAGAGAAGCAAAGGCAGTAGGCCTTCTGTTAACTCGTAGGACAAGTTCTGCTGAACACAGATACCAAGTCTGAGGAGTTAGACAGTTCTATCTAAGTGCAAATATTAAAGCAGTAAGTAAATGACACCAGGGATTTTTATAGTGGTTCAAGGAACAACTTGTTCCTCTAGTCCACTGTTCCACTAAGCTGTAAAGACTTCCGTTTACAATGCCTTAGCCCTATCACTTAAGAAGCTCTCCACGTCTTCTTCAAGTGTAGATGTCTCCTGGGATGCACTACCTGGCTTCCTTTAAGACTGGTCCTTTCACTGAGCTTCCTGGAAGTATCACCACTTCACTACTCCAGTTACTTGGACGTCCTTCTTGTAGCAAGAAGAGTTTCTGTTAACACAGGGGTTCCTCCAACTAGCTTCGTTACAAAGGATTTGTATGTGATGAGCTTGAAGAGTTGAAGAACACTTGGAACTTTGCTTGAGTTGGAAAAAGTATTTTTCCAACTTCTGCCTTCTCTTGTAGAAGATGATGAAGTGTTAATCTCAAGGAGGCTTTTTGCTTTTCAGAGTTTGAATTTCTTGTATGAAGAGTTGTAGCAATGGTTAGCAAAAATTGCAAAGTTATCCGGTTGTTCTTCGTAGTGTATCTTTTATATTGAGGTTGTCTTCCCGTCGGAGGAGTAGGAGGACAACTGCATTAAATGAGAGATCAGTTGACTTGACTAGTAGAGCCCGATAAAGTTGGCGGGTTACTATTTTGGGATAAAGTATTCCTGACATTGCGGCCAATCATCTGCAATTACTCTACGGAGCATGGGGAGCATTAAATGAGCATTTAATGCGCGCACTGTAGCTTTTCTGTTCAATACTCCTAGCCGTTGAAGGAATCTTTTAGTTGACTTCCCGGTTCTGTGGAATTCTTCTAAGTGTCAGACCTTCTGGTGTCTTTAACTGAGAGTTGAACAGAGGAGGTCTGGAGCACTTCTGTTGGGAATATATCCAACAGAGACCCAGAAGGGTTTCTGTCAGAGTAAAGGGTAACAGAGATCCTGAGGTCTTCTGTTCTGGAGCAGAGAACCAAAGGTCCTCTGTTTCAATAATGCCTTACGAGGGTCTTCTGCTCTTGGAGCCCTTCTGCTCAGAAGGTCTTCTGCTCTGAAGGCATCTGCCAAGTCGATTACACTAAGAACTTTACAAGTGAAAATTCTAATACATTAAGTCTAAATAGGGGTACTCTAAAGTCCTAATTAATCTAGCATCATCAAAATCTAAATACAAATATTCCTTACAATTTCCCCCTTTTTGATGATGCCAAAAACCCTTTAACTATTTCCAGAGAAGTGCCTTCACCATAAAGAAAGATTAAAGTTTAAAAACTTCCATTAAAATCTTGGTGGGAAACTTGGCATAGGAAAATAGTAAGAGTACAGTACATTCAGATAGCAGAATATAAATGAAATAAGCAAACACAAGCAGAAGGCAAAAAGACAGGAATTAAGAAAAAGCACTTCAAAGTGAGAAGGCAGAGATGTGATTTTATTAGATAAGATTTACAGAGATAATCCTTACACATTCTCCAAATTAGCTGCTTGTAGAGCTTCTTCCTCCAATCTTTGAAGCCTGAGCAGTTCTTCATTGATTTCTGCTCTGATCTTGGAAAGGTTGCCAGAGCTTTGATAAGATGCCCAAATGGGAGAAAGCTTGCAGTCCAGATAGCTGAGAACACCTTCATGTATTGTCTTTCCTGGGACAATGTTCTTCTTATACCATTCTTCAGCTTCTTCTAAGGATCCCCCATACCTAACTCTCACAACACCATCTTTGTCTGAATAGAGGTGCTGTTGTTGGGTGGGAGTCATTTTGGCCTTCATATCTTCAAATTGAGCTCTGTCAATCCTCTGAGATCCACCCAATCTCCATTCAGTGAAGTTAAAGACTTTCTTCTTCTTGATGCCTTTCTTTACTGGAGATGGGGGTCTAGGTATGCCTGCTGCTCTCTTCTTCTGTAGGGCAGCTTCAAAGTAGGGAGCAGGATCTACTGTAGGCTCAGCAGAGGAGGGTTCCCTAGTAGGAGTTCTGTGGGACCTAGGCCTAGTCTGTTGAGGGTCCTCTTCCCCCCTTTTGGCATCATGCATATCCTCTATCATCGGGCTTATCTTCTGGAACTCTGAGGCCTGAGTGGAGGCTATCTGCTCAAAGGCCTCTGGTAGAGTCTGAGTGACAGAGGTAAGGCCTTCAATGAGACCTTGCTGCTTCTGAATGGCAGAAAAGATGTCCTTGTTATTGGCTTCAAGCAGCACCATCTTCTGATATCTGTCTCTGTCAATGGATAGGAGAGCTTGAGCTTGTTCTTGGTGAGCTCTGCACATTTCCTCAATAGAGGTCAGTTGCCTCTCTGTTCTGGCATCAGATTTCTTCAGAGCCTCAAGATGCTCTGAGATAGTGTTGATTGCCTGTCCTTGATCTAGGAGAGTCTGTTGAAAGATAGAGAGGGTTTTGTGGATACCTACCACTTCTGTTGACAGGACATCTGTTCTGGCAGAGGAGGAGGCTATGAAGTTGTTGAGTGTTCCTGTGAGGTTCTCAAAACGATCAGATATGAACTGCATCCCTGAATTGAGATTGTCATTCACATGAGCAAGGTGCCCATAGTGTTTATCATTGATCTCTATAAGCTTGTCCATGCCTTGGAGGATTTGTCCACCAAAGTCTTCTGCTGATTCAACAAATTTGTTGAAGGGAATGTTATTCTGTTGTCCATCAGCTGGAGGCATCTCTAGACCTCTTCCCTTAGGCAGGGGGTGATGTTCTTGGACAGATGAGAGAGATTGGACACGCAGTTCATGCTCCAGTTGAGTCAGAGGAGGGGTCTTCTGTCTCTTTGATGTAGCTTGATATGACTTGCTGACCATGAATCCATCCATGTCAGATGAATCTTCATAAGAAGAGTATATGGGTATTGTGTTCCTGGTGACCTTCTTCTTCTTTCGGAAGGAGGGATTGGGGGCAGTAGAGTGCCTAGAATGGCCTTGGGGTGCAGAGATGGGGGAGACAGTTGTAGGGTCTGAATCTCTGAGAAACCATACAGGTTTAAGCTTCTCTGCAAGTTGGTGTGGAGGAGGTGATTCTGGAGGTGGGGTTTGATGTTCAGATTCGGAAGAAGAAGAGGATATCTGTTGGGGTGAGGGGTTCTGGTGCTGGGGTGAAGATTGAATAGGTGAGGCATTCTGTTGAGGAGGAGATGGTGGAGGTGAAGGTGAACGGTTTCTGAAGGGAACAATTGCTCTGCAGGGTGATGCAATTTTCTGTTTGGGTGAGTGAGGAGGGGTGGGGGTTTTCTGTTCAGGAGATTTAGGTTGAGGGTTTTCTGGTGGAGGGGTTTCTGTGCTGGTGGGAGGTGAGGGAATGTGGGGTTCTGTTGGGATATTAACAGAAGGGGTTGGAGAGATTACCTCAATGATGTTATCTTTGAGCAAAGAAGACCTCCACTCCTTGATATGCTCCATCATAGCTTGCCCTTCTGTCTTGGGTACAGAGGGCTCTCCCGGGTTGAAGTTGGGTTGCACAGAATCAGTTGCCATCTTGGTGAACAGCCATTCTTCAAAGGCTTCTATCTCTCCCTCTTCTAGAGGTTTGACTGTCTCCTATGAGGGTGAGGAGATGAGGACAGCCTTTCCCTTGTAGCTTGCCTTCTTCTTCTCAAGGACAGAGTGAAGAAAGTTGAGGGCAAAGCATTTTGAGACATCATCAGTCCCAACCCAATTCAGGATGGCTTCTTCTTCTTCTGGCTCATAGTGATCAAAATATTGGATTATTTTGTGGAGGGGTCCCATTCTCCATCTTCTCCATTCAAGGACCCGGGTAAACTGTCTGTCAAGCAAGGACAGATACCCATCTTTGACAGGACTAGGGTGCTCTGTTGGAGTTGACACCCTGTTCTGTTCAGGAGATGCAGCAGAGGTGGGGATCTCTGGTTCCCCCTTAGTGTCTGCCACTTCCTCAGACACTGAGACCATAGGTTTAGCAACCTTCTTCTTGAGTTTTGTGGTCCTCTTCCTCTTCTGTCCAGCCTTCATGGTTGGAGGAGCAACCGGTTCTGCCTTCTTGGTCTTCTTTTTCTTCTTCTTTTCAGCAGAAGGGGCTCCAGAGAGGGGTTTCTGCACCTTCTCTCCTTGTTGTCTCTTAGCCTCAAGCTGAAGCTGTCTCTTCAGCTCTGCCTTTATGGCTTTTTCCCTATTTGGAGAGGCAGTCAGGAAAATTACCTTGGTGTGATCCAAAGCTGTAGCCTTCCTCAAGGTTACCCCTTGTTTGAGGAGCACTTCTGAGATGAGCAGTCCATGCCCTAGCTTCCCAGAGTAGAGGCTAGTCTTTGGGTTCTTCTTCTTGATCACCTCAATTAGGGACTTTACCATGACTTGTCCCCAATTGATGTTTACCCCATGATGCACTGCATAGAGGGCCTTGGCATTTGCAGTTGTGACATCATCGGTGGAGGTATATTTGCACCATAAACATTTGTGGAAAATGTTAATGAGCAGCTCAAATTCCTTCTTGAGCAGGTTCTTCTTGATGTTGACCTTCTCTACTTCCTCACCTTTCTTGCAGAACTTCTTCTTGAATTCAGGCAGAGGGATGTCAGTATCCTCCAAATCAAGTAGAGAGGCCCTGCCTTCCTCTAGTTGAATATTGAAGATCTTGTTGATGACGTCAGCATCAATCAAAATTTCTTCTCCTTGGACGATGGAGGAGATGTTTTCATCCTTGAAGGAAGCGTTGAGATAGAACTCAACGGTGTCAATGTTACTGTAGGCCTCATAAGCATGAGTGATGACCTTGCTCAGTTGACACTGTGACAGTCCGTCAACAATGGTGGTCATCCTCTCCGTTTTCTCTGCGAACCTGGGTAGTACTTCCAGTTCGCATCTCATTCCTGTCAGTACATTTTTGAGAAGAGTTGCCTTTTGTTCCTTGGAAAGATCGGAGAAGCTCAAGAAAGCCATGGAGTTTTTAGCGGTTTGAGAGTTTTGGAGAGAGAAGAGTGCAAAAGCTTGAGAGTTATGAAAGAAGTAACGGTTTAGGTTTGCGAAAGGGGGTTTTATGGATACGGGTTAGTGGACGTTTGAGATAATTTACGGTTCCAAGGTACCAATAAATGTAAAAAGGGGCGCAGTAAATATTATGCGGCTGGATACCGTTTTAAGGGTAAAAGGGTAAAAGACCTTTAATAATTTACTAGGTCACCCGGTTTTCAGAATTTTCTAAGTCCACAACCTTGTGTTAGACATAAGAGGGGGTTTTCTGTAGAAAGGGTTTCTGTTGCTGAGGTGTTCTGCCAGGGTAGGGAACAGAAGAGGTTAACAGAAGGGGTTCTGCAAAAGGTATTCTGTTAACAGGAATTTAGCAACAGAGGGCCTTTCTTTTCAACTTTCCCTTGGAATTTCATCCATCATTCCCAATTCCTCTCTTAGTTTGTTGAACCTAGCCTCAGGAAGAGGCTTTGTCAGGATATCTGCAATCTGGTCTTCTGTTGGGGCACATGTTCCATGCAAATGTGCTTCTTCTCAACATGATCTCTGATGAAGTGATGTCTGATCTCAATGTGCTTTGTCCTGGAATGAAGAACTGGATTCTGAGTGATAGCAATGGCACTGGTGTTGTCACACAACAACTTGATCTCCTTTGCTTGAATTCCATAGTCCTTCAGTTGTTGCTTCATCCAGAGTAGCTGAGCACAGCAACTCCCAGCTGCAATGTACTCAGCCTCAGCTGTACTTGTTGAGATAGAGTTCTGCTTCTTGCTAAACCAGGAAACAAGCCTTCCTCCTAGCAATTGGCAGTGACCAGAGGTGCTCTTTCTGTCTAGTCTGCAACCTGCAAAATCTGAGTCAGAATAACCAATTAGTTCAAAGTTACCTCCCTTTGGATACCATAGGCCTGCATTTGGATTTCCTTTGATGTATCTGATGATTCTCTTTGCAGCACTTAGATGGCTTTCCTTGGGCTTTGATTGATATCTGGCACAGATTCCAACAGAGAATGAGATGTCTGGTCTGCTTGCAGTTAGATACAACAGAGATCCTATGATTCCTCTATATGTTGTTGCATCTACATCCTTTCCTTCATCATCTGTACCAATTCCTTGTGAGGTGTTCATGGGAATCTTCACTGAGGATTTGCCTTCCACTCCAAACTTCTTGATCAGGTCTCTGGTGTACTTCCCTTGGTTGATAAAGATCCCTTCTGGAACTTGTTTGACTTGAAGTCCTAGGAAGTAACTGAGTTCTCCCATCATACATTTCAAATTGACTCTGCATCACTTGAGAAAATTTCTTGCACAGTTCTGGATTAGTGCTACCAAATATAATATCATCAACATATATTTGTACTAACAGAATATGATTAGCAACAGAGATGTGAAATAGAGTTTTGTCAACCTTTCCTTTAGTAAACCCATGGTTCACTAGGAAAAGGGACAATGTGTCATACCAGGCTCTGGGAGCTTGCTTAAGACCATAGAGGGCCTTTTTAAGCTTGTAGACACAAGAAGATTGAGTAGGAATGACAAAACCTGGTGGTTGTTCCACATAAACTTCCTCTTCAAGATCTCCATTTAGAAATGCACTCTTGACATCCATCTGGTAGACCTTGATGTTGTTATAAGCAGCATAAGCTAGAAAGATTCTGATGGCTTCAAGTCTGGCAACTGGTGCAAAAGTCTCATCAAAATCAATTCCTTCTTCTTGGCAGTATCCCTTGGCTACCAGCCTAGCTTTATTCCTTACAATGTTGCCATCTTCATCAGCCTTGTTTTTGAATACCCATTTGGTTCCAATGACATTCTGGTGCTTTGGCCTAGGAACAAGTTCCCATACTTTGTTCCTTTCAAACTGAGTAAGCTCTTCTTGCATAGAATTGATCCAATCTGAGTCTGCAAGATCTTCTTCAACAGTCATAGGTTCCATTTGAGATTGTAACACTTGAGATTTAATATAAATGGATTAATAGTACTACTCATACCAACAGAGGTGCATCTCCTTTTAAGGGAGCTCATCACCCAAGAACTCCAAAGTTAAGCGTGCTTGCACGGGAGTAGTCTTGGGATGGGTGACCCCCTGGGAAGTTTCTCAGGGCGCGCATGAGTGAGGACAAAGTGCGCGGTAAAAGCTCGTGGTGGTTTGTGGGGACAGTACTAGAGGTCTAGAGTAACTACCTCGGGTCCGGTGGGGCCGGGGTGTTACAGGTGGTATCAGAGCAACCCTGCGACAGTGTGCTGACCCGTTAGATATCGGGCGGGCACTTAGCGGGGCAAGATTCTGGGGTTTTATTGAGATTGGTTTAAGGGCGCAACGAGGACGTTGCGATCCTAAGTGGGGGTGATTGTAACACTTGAGATTTAATATAAATGGATTAATAGTACTACTCATACCAACAGAGGTGCATCTCCTTTTAAGGGAGCTCATCACCCAAGAACTCCAAAGTTAAGCGTGCTTGCAAGGGAGTAGTCTTGGGATGGGTGACCCCCTGGGAAGTTTCTCAGGGCGCGCATGAGTGAGGACAAAGTGCGCGGTAAAAGCTCGTGGTGGTTTGTGGGGACAGTACTAGAGGTCTAGAGTAACTACCACGGGTCCGGTGGGGCCGGGGTGTTACAGAGATATATAGCAGGCAAGCATTGCTTCTCTCCTTGAAGTGGATCTGGTTTGAACTCCACTTCTGATTTGACCAATCACTTGGTTAGGGGGATGATCGCTTAACCATGTTAGGTCAGGTTCTGTGAGCTGCTGTCTTGGTCTCTCTGGTTCCTCATCTTCAGAGTCTTCATCTTCATTCAATAGAAGGGGGTTTGGTGCAGGTGTTGGAAATGCAGGGTTGTCTGTCACCTCTTCTGTTGGTTCTGGTGTTCTATCTTCTATGCTGACTTCCTTGAGGATCTCTGTTACCTCTTTAACAGAGATGCTTTCATCAAACTTCACATGTATAGATTCTTCAACATGTAGGGTCCTTCTGTTGAGTACTCTATAGGCTTTACTGGTGTTTGAATAGCCTATAAAGACTCCTTCATCAGCCTTCTCTTGAAAGACTTTCAGATGCTCCTTTCCATTGTTAAGAATGTAGCACTTGCATCCAAATACATGAAGTAGCTGATGTTGGGTTTTCTTCCTTTCCAGAGTTCATAAGGGGTCTTCTGGTGGTTCTTGTTGATCATGCTTCTGTTCTGAGTATAGCATGCAGTGTTGATTGCTTCAGCCCAATATCTCATAGGCAATCCAGATCCAGCAATCATCGTTCTTGCAGCTTCTTTTAAAGTTCTGTTCCTTCTTTCTGCTACGCCATTCTGTTGAGGGGTTCTGGCGGCAGAAAGTTGATGAAAAGTCTCATTCTGATCACAGAAGTCCTTTATGACTTGGTTGACAAATTCAGTTCCTCTGTCTGATCTGATTGTCTTCACTTTCAAATTCTTCTCAGTCTGAAGTTGCTTTAACAGAGATGGCAACTTCTGAAGAGTTTCATTTTTCTTTGATAGAAAAATAGTCCATGTATATCTGGAGTAGTCATCAACCATGACTAGGGTATATTTCTTGCCACCAACGCTTGGAGTCTCAACAGGTCCAAATAAATCCATGTGAATCAGATTTAGAGGACTTGTGGAAAGATCTCCAGCAATGGGTTTGAAGGAATTCTTCACTTGTTTGCCCTTCTGACATGCACTGCAGAGGGTCTCCTTCTTGTATACAATGTCTGGTAGCCCTTCTACAATGTGTTCTCTGGCCAGTTTGTTGATTGTTTTGAAATTCAAATGGTTGAGCTTTTTGTGCCAGTCCCAGCTCAGTTTTGAATCTCCTTTGGCTATCAGGCAAACTCCATCCTTTGCTGTGTTCCAATCAACTACATAGATGTTCTTCTTTCTTGATGCTGTAAGAACCACTTCCTTTGTTGTCTCATGCTTCAAATAGCAGAAGTCCTTTGTGAATTCAACAGTGTAGCCTTTGTCACAGAATTGGCTAGCACTCAGCAAGTTGAACTTCAGTCCTTTGACATAAGAGACATCATCAATGACTATCTGGTTCTTGATCAGCTTCCCTCTTCCTTTTGTTTGACTTTCTTTGTCATTACCTCCAGAGGTAACTCTAGGTCCTTTGCATTTCTGGAACTCAGTTAGGCAACTTCTGTCACCTGTCATGTGCCTGGAGCATCCACTATCAATAAACCATTCTTGTTCAGAGATGGCTCCAGCACACAGTTCCTGCAAGATCAAAAGAAAAATTTAGGTACCCAAGCAATGCTGGGTCCTGGGGGGTCATGGAGTCTGGGTAGTTGGTACCATTTTGGTCTCATCAAGTGAAACCTTGGTGGGTGGTACCCATTGTCCACCTGGTAGTTATAGTAAACTGAAGTGTGATTCACTTTGGGCAGATGCTTGTGAGGGTCATGCTTCCTGTTTACATACTTTTGCATAGCCTTTTTTGTTGGAAAGAAGTCCCATATACTATCAAGAGCAGAGGGACGGTTAGCTTTGGGCTTCTGAAGTTGACCAGCCAACCTCTTCTGCCTAAAGTTAACTTTCTCTTGATATTTGCCCTTGTGGTGATCATTTCTGGCACGATTGACATGAGGTTGTCTGTCAATGAATGGTCTTTTATTTTTGTTATCTTGAAAACCTTTTCTGTTGTTAGGTTTTCTGCCAGGTTCATTATTTTTCAAAAAGGGTTTCTGTTGAACCTTTATCTTTCCCTTTTCTGGTCTGACTTCCTCATGAACAACCTTGGTGCCAGATACACCAGCTTGACAAATGGGGCTAGAAATCAGTGGCACTATGACCTTATCTGCCTTAGCAACACTGGTGCTAGGCATTACAGAAGGCTCACCTGATTCTGTTGAGCCATAACCAAGACCAAAACCAGTGCCAATCTGTTGATCAAGTACAATCTTTTCCATGGAAGACTGGGCCTTCTGGTAAGCTTTGTACTTAATCTAGAGAGGCTCTATTTCTCTTATTCTCTTGAGAAGAGAAACATTTTCAGTCTCCAGTTGATCTCTTTCCTTAATTAGAAGATTGATTTTGATCTCAATCTCCTTCTTTAAGTCAAGAGTTTCATCTTTTAACTTACTGTTTTCTTCTGTTACAGAAGAATAAGTGGCTTGTATGGCCTTAAACTCTTCCCAAAATTCTGACATTGAATCAGAATCAAAAGCTAAGCCTACCGAAGAAAAACTAGATTCAGAAGTAGAGGTTACCTCATCATCAGAATGAGCCATGAGGCAAAGGTCTTCTGTCTCAGTATCAAGGCAACATAAGGCCTCATCAGAATCTGAGTCAGAACTGGATTCTGTTTCTGACAGAGGGTCTTTCTCTAGCTGTTCTGTCACAAGTGCCTTTCTCCTTCCGGAGTTGTCTTCGTACTTCTTCTTTTCTCCATCCTGTCCTTGTTTCTTGGACACCCTTGGATGGGGACAATCAGCCTTGAAGTGACCAGGTTGTCTGCAATTGTAACAGAGAAGCTCACCACTGCTTTCTGTTGTTTTGACCTTCTGGTATGGCTTTCTGTTGAAAGATGGACTCCTTCCATCTTTGGGATTCTTCATAAACGTTTTGAATCTCCTGGCAAAGGCAGCCATATATTCGTCAGATAAGAGTACTGAAGGGTCAAAATCATTTACCTTTGATGTGCTGGCAGTGAGGGCTGTAGTGGTCCTCTCTTCTGGTACATCTTCCTTTTCTTCAGTCATTTCAAACTCATGAGCTTTGAGATCTGAAATGAGCTTATCAGTGGGATAAGTCTTTACATCCTTGCTGGCTTGGACATCAACCACCTTCATTTTCCATGCTGAGGGCAGTCCCCTCAACACCTTCAGGTTGATCTCCTTGGTGGTGAGTTCCTTGCCAAGCTCAGAGATCTCTCCAGTGAGAGTGAGGAGCCTGTCATACATTTTGGAGATGCTTTCACCAGGGAGAAGTTTGAAGTCATCAAACTTCTTGTTGGCTATAGTGAGTTTGTTGTCCTTCTCTTGCTCATCACCAGCTCCAATGAGCTCAAGAGTATCCCAGATTTCCTTTGCAGTTTTGCACTTCTTTATTCTGTTGAAGTACCTATCATCAATGGACTTGTAGAGGATGTCCTTAGCAATATTTTCCAGGTTGTACTTTCTTCTCTCTTCAGTGGTCCATTCTGACTTGGCTTTACTGATCATCTGGGGTCTGGTGTTGTCAATAGCATGCTCAGGATTGACCTTCTAGAAGCTTGTGAAAGGGCCAATATCTAGAACTTCCCACATCTCATCATGCAGGGCACAGAGATGTGCTTTCATCCGGATCCTCCAGTCATCAAACTTAAGATCTGAAAACATAAGATTCTTGGACAAGGAGTGATCCATTATATCAGATAGAAATGAGGTCAAATAGAAAAACAAGTGGATCTTTGTTCAGCAAATAACCTAAGAGATTATTAGAGCAAGGAGGCTCTGATACCACTTGTTGGTCCCGGTTATACTGGATACAGTCTAGAGGGGGGGTGAATAGACTGTATTGGTTTTTAGCTTTTTAGACTAAGTACCAGATTTTTACAGAATAGCCTGTTCTGTTGACAGAACAGACTGGCAGCGGATGGGGTTCTGGTAGGGAGTTCTGTTGATTTAGCCTCAGAGAAGCAAAGGCAGTAGGCCTTCTGTTAACTCGTAGGACAAGTTCTGCTGAACACAGATACCAAGTCTGAGGAGTTAGACAGTTCTATCTAAGTGCAAATATTAAAGCAGTAAGTAAATGACACCAGGGATTTTTATAGTGGTTCAAGGAACAACTTGTTCCTCTAGTCCACTGTTCCACTAAGCTGTAAAGACTTCCGTTTACAATGCCTTAGCCCTATCACTTAAGAAGCTCTCCACGTCTTCTTCAAGTGTAGATGTCTCCTGGGATGCACTACCTGGCTTCCTTTAAGACTGGTCCTTTCACTGAGCTTCCTGGAAGTATCACCACTTCACTACTCCAGTTACTTGGACGTCCTTCTTGTAGCAAGAAGAGTTTCTGTTAACACAGGGGTTCCTCCAACTAGCTTCATTACAAAGGATTTGTATGTGATGAGCTTGAAGAGTTGAAGAACACTTGGAACTTTGCTTGAGTTGGAAAAAGTATTTTTCCAACTTCTGCCTTCTCTTGTAGAAGATGATGAAGTGTTAATCTCAAGGAGGCTTTTTGCTTTTCAGAGTTTGAATTTCTTGTATGAAGAGTTGTAGCAATGGTTAGCAAAAATTGCAAAGTTATCCGGTTGTTCTTCGTAGTGTATCTTTTATATTGAGGTTGTCTTCCCGTTGGAGGAGTAGGAGGACAACTGCATTAAATGAGAGATCAGTTGACTTGACTAGTAGAGCCCGGTAAAGTTGGCGGGTTACTATTTTGGGATAAAGTATTCCTGACATTGCGGCCAATCATCTGCAATTACTCTACGGAGCATGGGGAGCATTAAATGAGCATTTAATGCGCGCACTGTAGCTTTTCCGTTCAATACTCCTAGCCGTTGAAGGAATCTTTTAGTTGACTTCCCGGTTCTGTGGAATTCTTCTAAGTGTCAGACCTTCTGGTGTCTTTAACTGAGAGTTGAACATAGGAGGTCTGGAGCACTTCTGTTGGGAATATATCCAACAGAGACCCAGAAGGGTTTCTGTCAGAGTAAAGGGTAACAGAGATCCTGAGGTCTTCTGTTCTGGAGCAGAGAACCAAAGGTCCTCTGTTTCAATAATGCCTTACGAGGGTCTTCTGCTCTTGGAGCCCTTCTGCTCAGAAGGTCTTCTGCTCTGAAGGCATTCTGCCAAGTCGATTACACTAAGAACTTTACAAGTGAAAATTCTAATACATTAAGTCTAAATAGGGGTACTCTAAAGTCCTAATTAATCTAGCATCATCAAAATCTAAATACAAATATTCCTTACAACTTGATTGACCACCACCTGCTACCATTTCCTCATTTAAATCAAACTGCACGCTGCCATCGGCTTTTCCCTTCCCCTTTTCATGTATACTGTTCTTCTCAAACCCCAGAAGAGCACCATCTCTTACTTCATTTGGTGCAACGTCTTGTGTGAGACCTATACTAAAGGTTGGCACATCTTTCCTCCTTTGAGGAACCTTTGTTCTCTTTATACCGTCCACCTCAGCGTGTGCTATTATTTCAAGGTTGACTGGGTTCGACCAAAATACCTCCATCTCCCTGTCCATCAGCATATTCGCCACTTCACCTAACTCTTTGAACTCTTCACTTATTCATGATTTCTGTCGTTGTCTTAACAAATGTGCTGGTCTTATTAGCAAAGCGTTGCAGAACGTCGTGTAATTTGCAAAAAAATGATAAATTAGGTACGAAGTATTTGCTAACTTAGAAGCAACAATCTGCAAACGGAGGAGACAAGCACACAATAGTACACATAATTGCACATCACAATAAGTAATTTGCACATTAACTCCTTCATAAGCATGCTATAATACAAATAAGTGCACCCCACATGTAGTCTTTTGTATGCACATAAACACATTATTTTCCAATGAGAACGATGCTTAACGTGAGAACGTGAGAACACTCACATTTAAATCAATGTGATGCACAATGGAGCTCTTCTGTTGCGCATTTTCAATTTGCTCGAATTTAGCCTATATAAATAAACACGGTGTCATTTTGGTAATTATTGTGAAAACACAAAAATGTGCACTATACAAGCTTCATTGTGCAACACGTTGGGGTAAACGTGGTGTTCTCACGTTCTCACGTTAAGCATTGTTCTCATTTGATCTTTATTCTATATATATAGAATAAGAATCAAATGAGAAGAGTGCTTATCGTAAGAAGTGAGAATGCATCGGGTGCGTTCAATTTAAGATCTGTGCATCAGATTAACAAAAAAGTGCACGGGAAAGTGCAAAAAATATTAAAAAAGTGATGCTAGATGTGGTGCCATTTCCGTAATTAATCGTAACTTTTCTGTCATCGCAAAAAGTGCATCAGATTAGCAAAAAAGTGCATCAGAAATAGGTAAATGTGTAACTTCTCACGTTCTCACGTTAAGCATCGTTCTCATTGGAACCGCACCATATATATATATCGCAAAAAGTGCATCAGATTAGCGCAAAAGTGCATCACAAAGCGGCAAATGTGAAGCTTCTCACTTCTCACGTTAAGATATCAGAAAAGTTCTAATTAATTACGGAAATGAAACCGCGTCTTGCATCACTTTTTTAATTAATCGGAAATTTTCTGTGATCGCAAAAAGTGCATCAGATTAGCGCAAAAGTGCATCAGAAAGAGCCAAATGTGAAGCTTCTCACTTCTCACGTTAAGATGTCTTCTCATTTGATCCTTATTCTATATATATATATATATATATATATATATATATATATATATATATATATATATATATATATATATATATATATATATATGGTGCGGTTCCAATGAGAACGATGCTTAACGTGAGAACGCTCACATTTAAATCAACGTGGTGCACAATGGAGCTATTCTGTTGCACATTTTCAATTTGCTCGAATTAAGCCTATTTAAATAAACACGGTGGCATTTTGGTAAATATTGTGAAAATGTGAAGATGTGCAATATACAAGCTTCGTTGTGCAACACGTTGGGGTAAATGTGGTGTTCTCACGTTCTCACGTTAAGCATTGTTCTCATTTGATCTTTATTCTATATATATATAATTAGGTTTAAGTGAGAAAATGATCTTAGGAGAGAATTGAGAATGAATCTAGACCGTTAGATTATATTTTGTGAAATTGAATGTGCATTAAGTGAAACTGAAATGTGCATTGGGTGAAATCAAAATGTGCAGCACAAAAAGTAAGGCGCAGTGATATTATGTGAAGCTAAATTGTGCATTAGACCAAACCGAAATGTGCACTAGGTAAAACTGATACCTTTCTCACTCGAACCACTCCCTATATATATATATATATTGATGGATTGTAGGGATCCAAGTATGTATAAAATGTAATAAATGGAGAGATTTTAGCTCAAGAATGTGTGGAGAAGATGAAGTGTAGTAGAATGAATTGTGTCCTAATGACTTAGGGTTACAAGAGGCTCCAAGAGGAGTATAAATAGAGGAATAACGGGCCGGGCCGCTAATATGGGCCCGATAGCCCAACTACATAAAAGACTAATCTAGTACATACAAATGATATATGAACAGTACAAAAATACAAATGATATCCATAAGACGTGTGTGGGCCGCTGTCCGGGCCCAATAGTCGTGAGACCTGGGGGTCCGAGTCTATATACTCTATCAGGAGTCCCCCACTCCCTGAGTCGAGAGTATTCAAGGCGAAAGGGAGTAGTCCAAACTGTATCTGCAACGTTCTTCTGTCTTTGATTTCTTCCTCTCCGGCCGGGGACCACCACCCTTGTTCATGATGGGGAGGTGCCTCATTAAAAACCTTTACTAGGAAAAAACCCTGTGGGAAAAAATCCTAATAAAGGGAAAAAGAGTACACCTAGCGCCCCCAACATGAAACAACGAAAGTAAGTTCCCTCTGGCATAATCAATTTTGTCTAGCTCAGCTCCTCTTCATCGGACCCAGCTTTCGTTACTGCTCATGCGTGATATCTTCTGCTCATTTAGAAACTCTGACC